GAATATGAGAGAGAGGCTATGAAGTCACCAAAAACGGCTAGGATTCTTCTTGGAACTCTTAGGAGCCTTTTTTGGTGATGCTAGGGGTTACATTTATAGTGTGGAATTCCTAGGGTTTCACTTGTAAACCCTAATTCACTTCCTTGGGCCTTTAGTGCAATAATCCATATGATAAGCCCTTTGGACTAACTCTTCATGGACTCCCACATAAAATTAGTCCATCCTAATCAACATGGATCATTAGCCCAAACTATATGTATTACTGATTTACTTAATCAGTCCCCGTTAATTTAATCAGTCTCTTTTGATCACTAAATTAATTCCAAATTAATTCTTGACCAATACCAATTAAATAATATGATCTCTCAATTAATATATTATTCTTATAATATATTAATTAATCACAAATAACCTCTTTCTCAAATATCCATCCTATCAAATTGCTCCGGTGAAGGCAACCCAAAAGGACCATGCTACTATCGGGTCAAGTACATACCAATTATAGTTATGGGCTCAAATACCTAATCCAACAGATTGCTCCTGAGCCCTTAGTATGAGTCTGGAATGCCGATTGTCCTCAGCTCATATTTGGAATGCTCTCGGGTTTGTTGGTTATTGCACAAAGCAGTACAACCTCAACCCAACACAATATGTCGACATATAACAGATAATAAACATATACAGATAATCATGCAAACAGGATCACAGGTAGTCGCACAGATCTATCGGTCAACGCATATCAGCAACTAGCATATAATAATACAGATCTATTCCATGCTCAACATACCAATGTATAACAGGATATCAATCCCAGGGGCCAACCGTGGTGCCTTAGAGCCGTAAGTACAGTGAGGAAAACTCACCTCACAAACAGGACAAAAGCTGACGCGGTCTTGAGTCCGAATCTCAGCTCTAACTGTCACCTATTCAATCAGGTGACCAGACACAATCAGATCCCGAAATACCCAAAATGCCCTAAGGTCAACTTGGTCAAAGCAAGAGTCAAACTAGGTCAATCCAACCGAGTCAACTCAGCTGAGTCACCACAGAGCAAGTATGCGAGGTGTACTCCGAAGGTATGCTGTGCATACTCCTTCATTGACCACATCGTGGCCGTTGACTGCGTACGTTAGGCGTACGCCCAGGTACACTCGGTGTAATCCTAGTCCTCTTCTATTCTTCATTAAGTGCTTAATATAACAACTGTGTACGTCCAAATTCAGAGCCAAGGTCAAAATGTCATTAGGAGTAAGAAGGTTTCCAACTTTATGACATTGCATGCTTAATAAGTGCTTAATCCATAAAAACCCAACTTCTTATTGCCTTAAGACTCTCAATAATATGCATGCGACAAGACCAACCATTAGGACTCCATTTTTATGACTTATGTCCTCTACCAAGGCCTGAAAATGCAAGTTAATGAATCAAGAACATGTCATGCTTAAGATCTAACATTTTGGGACCAAAACACATCATTAAGACATCTAAATCTAGATCTATATGATAGAGGGATAAAGTTGCAAGCTTTAATCCTTCCAAGGGTTGCAAATGAGATAGAAATCCTAGATCCAAAGTGATGTCCTTTAAGATGAGTTTGGCTTCCTTCCTTCTTCTTCTAAGCACAAAAACACACACTCTTAGGCTTGGAATTGCTTCTCAAGGTGAACTAGGGTTGCAAAACGTATCGAGAGGGATGGAGGCTGATGAGGTGAGGGGAAATGAGACCATAAGGGTGTTTAAATACGAGCCAAACCCTAAAAATTAGGGTTTCCATCTCTGTCAAGTACGCCCCGCGTACGAGATGTACGCCCAACGTACTAGGGTGCTCCCTAGTACACTCAGTGTACACACGTACGCATGGCGTATTCCCCTTAAGGCTAAATTACAAAAATGCCACTAGGGCCCTTAATGCACTCTTTCTTGAACTTAGGGACCAAAATGCAACATAAATAAATTATAGGGTTAAAATTATAAGTACCTTATCATCGGGATGTTACAGTTGCCACCCGTAAATAGAAGCTCTTGTAGGTCTACTGGATCAAATGTAGTAAATTACTTGGACATAAGATAGTAGCAGAGTAAAGGGTGACATTTTACACCTATCTGCATGTATAAGTAATCACCAAAACATGATTGCCTAAACCAGACCCCACAAACTAGTCGGTTATTTAAACGAGCCATGATTTTGTACCCAAGTTCAGTCCTGCATGTTGTAGTAACAACCACTTCGTATGTTCTGTCGTGTTATAATCAAAAGAATACTTAATTAGGCATTTTTTATGTGTGTTCTGGAGGACATTACTGAATACACAACTCTGGACCAAAATCCCGGAACATAACTCCAGAGCAACAATCTGGAACGTAGTTCCGGACTTAAGTTTCGGAACAAAATTGCGAAATGTTCATCATATCGCGGAGGAGTTCTTATTATTCCAGCCATGTTTTTCAGATTCCGGACTTGTTCCGAACTAGTGAAAATGAAGTTTTTTGGTGAGCATTTTTAATGTAATATACATATAGTCCTACATATAATCCTATAATTGTCTTTAAACCAATAAAATTCAAAGGAAAACTATCAGTGCCTATCTAAATGCATAAATTATACATGTTTGAACGTATAATCTAAAATAAAGGCATATAATTATGAACATAATGTAAACTTATATATAAAAAATGCATCTCATCACATCTCTCAAGAGACATTTTCAGTTTTAGTGGTGTCCTGAATGCTCTGTAGGGTAATCCAAAATGAGAGAGTTCGAAATAAAATCTGAAATAGGTTAAATGATATTTTTAAGGGGGAGGGGGGGGGGGCATTTATGGGTCGGATCCATTACCCATAAATGCACCGAATACCAAATTGGCTCCGGAATGACCCATTTTGGACCAAGTGGTCATTTTGCAAAACAAAATATAAAAGGATTATTATTATTAAAATAAGATTAAAAAGTTGTTAGTTTACTCAATTTCCCTAAAATAATATTCAATAAAATAAGTAATTTTTAAATTAATTAATCATTACAATATATATTTATCTTATCATATTATTTAAGAAACCTCAGAGCATCTCCAATGAGAAGTTTTTTTAGTGTATTATTATTTGTTTTTTTTAAATGATCACTTAACGCCATTGGAGTAAACAATTTTTTATTTTTTTATTTTGACAACTAAATATATTACGAGTGGTCAATATAATATGATAAGTTGTAAATTTAAGTCCTTCCATTTTAAACATAATTTATTTTATAACTATTGTATAATATTTTCAATGTTTTTATTATACTTGTATAACTAAAACATAATAATTTTTCATATTTTAGGTATATAAATAAAGACCTGATATATTTTTATTTTATATTTTTATATTAAGATATGATTTGTGTTTAAAAAATGATTAATTAAATAAGATGTTTTATAAAATATTTTAGATAGATGAGGGTAAATTAGTTAAATTTGTATATAAAAAAAGCTATTAGAATAAGCTTAACTATTAGAGAAGTCATTTATTTAGATGTCAAAATTAACAGTAAATTGAGGTGACAATAACTTTAAGTTATAGTATAGGTTAACCATTGGAAATGCTCTTACAACTTTAACTATAAACTTAATGTAAAAATTATTATTTCATAATTAATAACTATATAATCTTAACATGTGAAACACACCTGAATTCACCTACTTTATATTCAATCAAACGCCTATGAAGACTGAAAACTCTTAATTATTTTAATTACCATGTGACTATCAATATTGATGCTATACAGTTTGAAAAACACACAACACACTGAGATTTGTGTAGTTTATACTAAGGAAAATGAACTAAAAGGGTAATAAAGTTCTTTTTTGTACAATTTAGTCCTCATTGTCTTTTTTGTATAAAATAAGCCCTTGAAATTATTGTTTTTGTACACATTTAGTAATTATGATTGATTACTCTATGTTAAATTCTCAGTTTGTATATATTTAGTCCTTAATATTTTATTGTAAAATAAGTCGTTGTTATTTTTGTACACATTCAACCATTATGATAGGTTTATTCAAGTTTTGCTCACGTAGCATCCTACGTGTGACAATAATTAATGAGGTGTTCTCATACATGGCTCGTCTGAATACTGGAGTCATATGTTACTTGTCATGGTTTTGGTAATAGCAATGTACTTCAATATTAGTAATTATGATAGTACAATACCAAATATATTTAACACCAATAAAATTTTTATTCAATTGCAATATCAACTACATTACATCATATGAAGAAAATACATCAACCATAATGATTTCAATTGTTGAAAATAGTGTTCACACTCATAACAATTAACTATATTGTTAATAATAATAACATAGTCATTTTGGGTTACACGTAAGGACATGAAACCTCATCTTTAACAACTGCAAACTCATCCTCAAAATCCGGGGTGAATTTGAAAATAATAATAAAAAAATCCATTCGTTGAAAAATGGTCAAAATCTACATACCGAGTTAGTGAAGACTATAAACATTTTTTTAGGATGCTATTTTGTCTTGGAAGTCCCAATTTGAGTTCAGATAAAGCAATCATAAAGAATTTCATTGTCTATTATTGAGATAGATGAAACTAAAATCGAATACATCTTTTTCTTGGAAACAACTAGGGAACCACCATTATTTGACTGATTCGTAAATTATGTTATTGATATAAGTGAGAGAATAGCCATGCATGAGAACACCTCATTAATTATTGTCATACATAGGATATAATGTGAGCAAAACCTAAAACAAATCGATCATAAAGACTACATGTGTACAAACTGAGAACTCAACTTGGAGTAGTCGGTCATAACCTGAAGTAGCCGGTCATAAGTACTAAACATATACAAAACAAGAGGTTAAAAGAGTTATTTTACAATATAAAACATTAGGACTAAAACATATACAAAATAAAAATGATATTACCCTTATAGGTTATTTTCCCTTTATACTAAACTAGAAATGTATCCCCATGCTACGCATGGGTTGGAGTTTATTTGGATATTGTTAGTGGGGAGCTGGGGAGCCGATTCGTGTTTCGGAATAGAAATTCATAACTCGTTTGTGATTCAGTCACTTTTAAACATCTACAGAACAATAGCAACACTTTTTAAACAAAACGGTGAAATGGTCATCTACTCATATTTGCACAATGTATTCATCCGATATAGAGTTTTAATTGGTAGCCGTCATATTGTTTTAATGCATAACAATTATTGAACTAACAATCAATTGTTATTCAACATAAGTTTTAAATAAGTGGGTAAACAGTCGTTTAATCTCATTAAGACAATCTATTCAGTAAAAAAACGTACTTTGTGAATACAGCAACCGGTGCCACATTATGAGGAGAAAATAGTAAAAATATGGAATGGAAATGACAGCTTTTTTTTTGTTGAAATGGCTTGATGCTAAAGTCTTTTCCCTACACAATGAAGGTCATTCAATGTTTGAAGCATGGATCTCATTTTCTGTGAATGTACTCCGGCTGACGTCATATTTTTGTGATCATATGGCACAAAAAGAGGCTAAAAAAAGAAGACAAAGGTAATGATAATAGATGAAAACATTGTAGATATACCGAAGAATATAAAAAGCTTTTGTATTCTCAATCTGGGGAGTCGGACAGTTTCTTCGAGTCTAGGGGCAATCCAACCTGAAAATTCAACTACAGAAGCGCATTCAATGTGTCACTAAAAATTCCAGGGACAAAACTGTAATTAATACAAAAAAAGAGAGGTATCAATAGTGTAATTCATTCATTTTTTAAATTAAAAACTAAAGAGACCAAAAATGTAATTATTGCAAATTAAGAAATATAAGGAAGAAAACTGTAATAACTACATTTCCTAAAAATTAAAAGGAAGCTATAAGGAGTTGTAGAAGTGTCATTTAAAAGAAAGCTATAATGAGCTGTAATAACTTCAGAAGTGTCATTTAACAATTTATATATAAAGAGTTCAATCATCATTCGTAGAGAGTAAATGGTATTTACCCACCATAACAAATTTACCTGAAGCAGATATGGGAGAGCAATGTGGATCATATTGTTCAACCAGGCCAACTCAAGAGCAAAATCTGGACGAATTAGATAATAACAAACAAACAAACAAACAGACAGGAAGAAAAACATTCATTTTTTCCCTGTAATGATGCATAACCTCAATTATATTATTATAACAACCAATTGGCCCTCACAAATACCATCATATTCAACCGATCGATGAAATAAAGGAGCAATTCTTCAGCTAACTGACGGTCACTGGATTGTGAAGCTGTCTCCATGGCATCCTTGTAAACTTTGTCTTTCTTAGACAATGCAATTTAATGGTTCTATCTACCAGCATTCTTGTAAATATATGCAACTACACGCCTCATCTGAAGAAGGTCGTGTTTCTCAGTCTGCAACAATCCATATGCATCAATAAATATCATGATATCACAATTCACTTCATTTAATAATAATAAATATATTAATAATAGCACAACAAAGTACCGTCTGTGCAAGGAGAACCTGTAATTTCTTGTGTTTAGACCAAGGATAATTGCACAAATTGTATCATTTATTGAGCTTTAGATAAACTCTCACTGAATTTGCGACATCTTCAAATCGAATAGTATAACCCAACTTCCTCTCCAAGTTTGACTCCCATTCTTTCTGGCAATGATTCAAACTTGTCATTAGATGCAGTTTTAGTGCAAATTTAGTGAAAATGAAAGTAAAGTAAATGCATTAAGAAGGCATTATATGATAACAGTGAGCACTAACCAAAAAGGACATTGATAATAAGTACCTGCACCGCCAACCGTCTTGATTGAGTGCAAGCAACAATCTAGCAACCATCAGCCCATCCTGCTTCCTTAGGGTACTGGAAGATTATATAAAATGCTTCAAACTACATAAATCTTCATAGCAAATACTGTAAATACACAAAAATTCATTAAAATTGTTGTTTCTAAGGACCGAGAGGAATCCATTATACAACCAATTTTCTTATATTATACATATCCAACAGTAGAACCTCCTCTACAACAGTGATCAAATAAAAACCATATAATGACTTCCACTGCCGTGTTTCAATTCCAAGTTGATTTAAGAATTCAGATTGTTTCGAAAAGGGACGACGACCGGAAAATCGGAAAACCACAGCCACAAAATTAAGAAATAGAGTATAGATAGAAAAGACGTACCGGTGTAGAAGATGGTGGAACAATTCCGTTAGTTCACCGGAGAACAGGATTCAGATCTGCACAAACCCTAGAAATCGATGAATCCCTCTGGAAGGCAACCGAAATACAAACGAAGCCTCGAGAAGTCGTCAAGAGAGGAGAAAACGTACATAAGGAGCATGGAGCTACCCCAAGCGACTTGCTTCGACTTAACAGAGACAGTCTCGAAGAGCGGGTGAAGTCAAGATGTCGATAGCAAACGGTGACGACCTCTAATCGTCGTTCATCTTCGTCGACAACCTCATGCCAAAAAAATGAAGATGGAGAATGTTCGACTGGTGTATTAAACGGATGAGGCGGTGGATATTGTAATTGGAGGAGAAAGGCGGTGATTCACAGCAATGACCAAATTGCCAACTTCCAAAAATGATGTGGCTAAATTCTAAAGTGAAAAAAAGGGAAGAAATTAAAAGTAAACAAAAGACAAAGTTGTGTGGCAGAATTCGAAAAGCCAAAACTTCACTATACATAAACGTCCTCTTGGTTTATTATATATATAATGAGATCAGTCTTTGCTTTTGAAAGAGACTCTATGTTCAAATATCATACTCGTTTTTTTAGAACTACACAATTTCATTAAAAACTAGTAAGATCCTAGAAAGAAAACATTACAATTAATGACAAACATAAGCAAAATTATGTAACAACATGATCCATCCTAACTTAGTTTTGCTATAGATATTATAAATCAAAAAATAAGACCAATAAACAATATCATCAAATGATTTTCTAGAAATAACCATTCCAAAAATAATGAAATTTCGAATCTCGTACTCGTTGTTTTCGTTATTTGTGTTCTTCTTTAAATGTTTATATGTTTTTACTTAAAAAACATGTTTTTTTTATAAATTCCGTTCAAATCAATTTTACTTGTTTGGCTAAGAAACAAGTTCATTACTTTTGGTCGAGGAAGCAACGAAACTAATCATCCACGTGTCTAATTTTCATTTGTATATTTGCAAAGAGTATCAAATTTCTTTTTTTAAGGTTATACGGCTTTTCGACAACGAGTAGTGACATTTGTAGAAAGAGTTACCAATCATTTTTTTTTTAAAAAAAAATCTAAAATATATTCAACTAGTTAACAAATGTATTTTATTATTTAAAACCCGTATCTTTAATTTTCATTGGGAATATGATTTATTAAGGTAATTAATTTTTCAGTTTGTTCAAATCTATTTAATTATTTTTTTTGTACACATCTAGGTAACGAACTTGTTAGGAGTGTTCACATATGACCAGTATAACCTGCTATAGCAGGTTATATTCAGTCATAATGGTCATATGTGAACACTTTCAACAAGCTCCTTATCTAGATGTGTACAAAAAAAAAAAAAAAAAACTAGTTACCCAAATATGAACAAAACGAAAAATAGAGTAAATCACACGAATGGTCCCTGTGGTTTAGAGGAATTTGTGTGTTTGATCCCTAACTTATTTTTTTAACTCGGATGATCCCTAATGTTTATTTATGTTGTGCACTTGATCACTGTCTTACTTAAAGAGACTATTGTGCTCTTACTAATTTATTTTTTAATTAATTTTCTTATTTATGTATTTATTTTTTATATATTTAAAAAAATTAATAGACCCTACATATTTGTATCTCCTCACCCTAAACCCGAAACCACATTTGAGAAATTTAATCTGGGTCCCACCAGTCACCATCCTATCTCTCATCCTCCTCAACTTCTATTTCCTTTCCATCTTTAGTGACATCAATGTCTTCATCGTCCCTTCTTTTTTTGGTCCTTCAACTCCGGCGAACCAACACCACAATCCACTGTCTCTTCATCGAATTTTCCACCACCACAACCCACTGCATCACAATCCTTGTAGGAAAAGAAATTTGACATCAGAAAGAAAAAATGGAGAACTAGATCAATTGAAAACCATAACTTTAAATGCAAATAAAAACCTGAAATTCTATTAACACTATCATCGAGGATGAGAGATGAGATGGTGACCGGTGGGACTCATATTAAGTTTCTCAAATGTGGTTTCATGTTTAGGGTGACGAGATACATATATATAGGGTTAATTATTTTTTTAAATATATAAAAATTAAATACATAAATAAGAAACCTAATTAAAAAAATTAATATGGGCACAATAGTCTTTTTTGGTAAGACAAGACCAAGCACGCAAAAAAAATAGTAGGGACCATCTGAGTTAAAAAAAAATAAGTTAGGGACCAAACACACAAATTCCCCTAAACCACAGGGACCATTCGTGTAATTTACTCTTACTTTTCGTTTTGTGCATATTTGGGTAACTACTTTTTTGTACACATCTAGGTAACGAACTTGTTGAAAGTGTTCACATATGACCATTATGACCGGATGTAACCTGCTATAGCAGGTTATAATGGTCATATGTGAACACTTCCAACAAGTTCGTTACCTAGATGTGTACAAAAAAAGTTACCCACATATGAAAAAACCAAAAAGTTAATTACCTTAATAAGTCATATTCCCATTTTCATTTGTATATTTGCAAAAAGTATCATTTTTATAAGATTATACAACTTTTTGACAACGACGCAGTGACATTTGTAAAAAGATTATCAATCAATTTTTTTTAAAAAAAATCTAAAATATATTAAATAGGTAACAAATGTATTTTATTATTTAAAAGCATAGTTAACTTATAGTTTTTTATATATTTATATGTTATCTTAGGTTTAATTTGTCACTACTTCTTTTTTTTTATACATTTTTTGTACGCACTATAAATTTTGTTTGAAATTTGATCATTTTTTGGAACGGTAGATTTTATTAAAAAAAGATATAGCAAGAAGCTAGAAAAGAATAATGACAATAATAAAGTAGCAGAAGCAGGATTATGAAGCCAATAATTCCAGCTAATCTTGGCTTTACTACACCTATTAGAAATCCAAAAAAAATGATCTATACACAACATTATCAAAAAGTAAGGATTTCTTCGGGGTAGTCGTTCCAAAAGCAACTGAATTACAAAAATTCTAGATACACCAAAAAGAGGTCATAACCATATCACCAAAGGCTTGTCCTTGGCACCTTCTTATCGTAACATAATTAGGATACATGATAAATGAGGTAACAAAGATCTAGATCAAGATCTAAATTCCCCACCAAATAAATATGAAACCAAATCTCAAAGAGCTCTGTGTAACCTGCAAAAAGGTGATCAACCGTCTCAACTGTACGGGAACAAATAGGGCATAAAATTGAGTCGACCATGATTCCCCTATGAGAAAGTCTCTCTCGCGTGGGAATACAAAGTAACTGAATCCTTCATAAAAGAACATTGAGCTTGATGGGAACCCAATTGTTCCATATAGGCTCAATACCTCCAGAGAAAAGCAAACTCTCATCTAGGAAACGCAAAGCAGAAGAAACAGAAAATGTATCAAAGACATTAACAATCCAACCCAATCTATATGGAATCGATTGCAACTGAAAATCCTGCAAAAAAGAAAGAACTCCTTCCCATTGCTCGTGCTTAATACCGCCTCTAGGACCTCGTTTAAAAGTAGCACGATCCCAACCCAAGGTCAATTGATCTCAGATTGTAGCATGTCTAACTCTATCCAAGGAGAAAACTCTTGGAAAAGTGACAGAAAGAGGTGCCTCCCCAATCCGCACATCCTACCAAAACTACGCATACATCCCATCACCAACCCTGATAGAGCACAAGGACTGAATATCAATACCTCTATCACAAAACTGAATGAACATACGAATAATCCCATAAGAAGGACTCAAACCAGAACCCCTACGGTTCAAAAACCTGCAACCTCCATCTGAACCATATAAAGATTTTATCACCCTTACCCATAACAAATCAAGCTGGTGATAAAATATCCACCGCCAACGAACCAATTTATTTAGAAGACTTGCAGTTCTTCTTGATCGAGTTTTTCCAAAGCATCATAAATGCCAAACGCGCCCTTTAATTAATAATCATTTTTATTTAAAGAAATATCACTCCCCTTCTTCAAAATGTACATGTACCTCATCCTCCCAATCATCCATTTTATTGTAACCACAATAGAAAGTCTAAGTCCAACTGAGTGCTTCTTTGACTCTAATCTAGTAAATGACACCATCCACACTAACATTCGCCACCTCAGAGATAATAACAAGATGTGAAGTTAAGATACAAACTCAAATGTTGTATACATCTTATCTAAGAGTGTCATCTAATTGAACAACACAACCCCACTTCTCCCAGATTTTCCTAAAGGCCATTTTACTCCAAGACCGAATAGGTAGACCTTCAATATCAACCCAAAAAATATGATCCGGTGGAACAAAATCTCTATCCCAAACCCGTTTTTCAGTGATCCAATGACTAACCACATCACTTACCAATAATTTTTACACACTTCCTTAGAGTTGAACTTAAACATTTCCCATAGGCCACCTACATAACGGATTTGAAATTCAATAAAACCCTCATCATGACATAACATTCCAGGGTTGGGTAACGTAGGAAAATCTCTATCCTTATCTAAACATGCAATGTTTCTATATTCAATAATAATATACCTGGAACTAAGCACAATAGCAACTTATAAGTTTTATAGGTTACAAAAATATATGTGGCGGAAAAACTTAACCCTTAAGTTCACATGCAACCTCTTTGGATCTAAGTTTTCTCTATTGATAGCAAAAAACAATTGAACATCAAGAACCCTATGGAGGCCCTACTATAATCGAAATTACTAGGGATTTAGGATTTACATACCTTTTTTATTATTATAGTAAATAATCAAAGTAGTTCCTTTCTTCTGATCTCTTGGAAAGCTAGCACTAGAAATCCAATGCCTCTAATGGTTTGTACCCAAACCCTAGCAATAGAATACCTGAGAGGAGAGAGGAAAGAGGGTGAGAATATCGGCTATTCTTCTTGTGAAATGAGTGGCCAAAAATTGTAGGTCTAAGGCCCCTTTTATAGTTGAACTATGAAACCCTGGAAACCCTAATTTGAATATAATACTATTATTTCAAATTAGGTAATTATCCACATTCCTAATTATCATTAAGGAATATTCCAGAAACCCGAATATTCCTCCTTAATTTCGTCAAAGGGTTGGAAGGTCCTAGAATACCTTCTTGTTCAACTATTAAACAATTA